TCGGCCAATCACAACGCACTGGATAGCTGGCCAATCAGAGCACACCTCGCTTTTCAGACCGATGAGCTTTGTAAAAATTTTTACAGAAAAGTTTCAGAAAGGCGGGGCATAGAGGAGAAACAATAATGTACAGTATGTGGAAAATAATGTGTTCTTTTAATCTTAAATCGCATAAACACATTTCATTACACCAAATACACAAAATAATGTTCTTTTTAGCAACATCATATGACCCCTTTAATTGTCAAGAGAATATTATTTAAAAAAATCTTAATGGTGCTAAAATAAGCTTTCTTCATGCATGTTATTTTATTTATTTTACTGTATTTATTCATTTATTTTGCATTACAATAATATTATAATATTATCATGAAAATGTCACAAAATCTTTAATGGTGCTAAAATGGTGCTTGCTCTCTTCATGCATTGTTTTTTGTTTGTTTGTTTTGTTTTGTTTTTGCATTAGTCATATTAATCACATTAATTGGCAAGAGAATATATAAAAAAAAAAATCATAATGGTGCTAAAATAAGCTTTCTTCATGCATGTTATTTTATTTATTTTAATGTATTTATTTATTTATTTTTGTGACATGTGACCTGGACATGTTCTTGACAGGTTTCTGTGAAATTTGTCTTTATATGAATATGTTAATCATTCAGAATCATCTGATGTATGGTATTTTATTGTAAAGGTAACGTGCCCATCTCACAGTTCATGAGAATCCCTCACAGGCGTTCCTCTGTGAGTAATGTCAGTGATTTATCTCCAGTTCGAGTGTTGAGCGTGAATCCAGTTCCAGCCGGTCAGGAGCGCTGTGGTGCGACACACTGAAACCCTGTAAATATGAGTGTTTGTGTTTGTGTTTTAGGTTGGCGCTGTGGTGGAAGCCAGGAACCAAGATGGGATCTATCAGGAGGCCACCATCAACAAACTCACTGACGCTAGTTTGTACACCGTCGGTAAGACCATCTCATCTCATCTCATCCTACACTGCATTTCAGCACTGCACATGTCTTCAGATAGCTGCTTATGTGTCTGTGCCACTTCCATCCTTGTTTTATGGCTTACTTTAGTTTCTAGCATCATATGTGAGAGCAGCACAGTCAGTCTGAGATGCTGGGTAATTTTCATCTCAGGGCTCAATAATTAAAATGTATATTATTTTATATTAATTATATATTGTAATGTTTTATAATTTAATTATTTATTATATTATAATTAATTTATATCTATAAATTATTTAAAGAATAGGTTATTATATATAAACAGTATACATATACTATTATATTTATATAACAAATATTTATATTTTATATAATTTATAATAATTTATTTTTTTAAATCAAGTGTTAGATCAAACATTTTTATCAGTAGGATCATAATAAATAAAAATAATAATAGTCAATTATTAAAATAAATTATTAATATAAATATAATAGTGTGTGTATAATATACACATTGTTATATTTATATATAATAAATATGTATATATTATATAATATACACATTGTTATATTTATATATAATACATTTTTATATATTATATAATATATATATGATGGATGAAAACTTTTTAAATTAGGATTTTAAAAAACGTAAGTAAAAAAAAAAATTCTCAAGACAATTTTACAATAAAATTTAATTGCAAATCTACTTTATATGGTTCATAATTTCCTGTAATATTCTACTATAATGTAATATGCAGACTTTTTTTGCCACACTGATCAATGGTGGTGATTTTTTTTTTTTAAATATTAGTAAATATAAATGTTTTTCTCAATAGTCATCAACATATATTTTGTATTTGTGTTAAATATTAGTGATGTTTTTATACCTATGACAACTGAATTAGCCAGGTGTTTTTTCATGCATGTTAGTGAGAAGCATCACAGGTTGTTTGTCACTCAGCATCATAAATGAGATCCGTGTCCATCTCTCACAAAAACATAAAACAGAATCATTTCATTCCTCATATTTTTTTTTAATATTTGATGTCTTAATGCGAATTATAATCCACATACGTGTCTTCACATGGAGAGAAAATGAACTTGATGCACCCTGGTGAAGGCCTGTGAGTCACAGCAGATGTTTTCTCTAGCAGATGGTTTGAGTTTGACGCTGTCGTTCTTTCAGGTCAATTTAAACCATATTGTATGTCGCAGCTCCTAATGAAGCTACAAGCCAACTGGTGATTTACTCAGAGTTTTAGTGTTCATAAATGCACGATATAGACTCTTTTCAGCCGTTTACACGCAGAAACTGCTCCGGAAGTGCATCAAGGACCAGAGTACTGATTAAATCAATAAGTAATTCAGTTGAGAAGGTGGCCCACGTCTGCCGCCATGGTTGCCCACGTTCACTGCGAGTTTCTCATTAAAGCTGA